GCAACACTGGTGAGATGCATGTTGATTGATAGTGAGGAAGTACTGCGGTTTTCTCTGTCAGTTCTTTAAAGTTTCCTGTTACATACATGTGCAGTTATTTTTTCCTCTCAAATGTAAAGCTTGCTGTGGATGATTGGAGGTAGAAATAAAACCCTGATGTCCGATCCTCATGAGTGAATGACGTATTCTTGCAAACAAGCAGGGTGTCATCACCGTGGAGTCAACAGCTGAGTCTGTACTGGGTCACTCTTAAATGACTCAGGGCACATGGAGCATGGTTGCATCTCTCCTGATAACCTTACTGCAAATCTAACCGGGTGACTTTTAACAGCTCTCAGTGCTGTGCTTCATACATGGAGCCCTCTGACTTTGTAACAGGAGAAAAACTGAAGGGTGACTAATGGTCTGAAAGAGGTGACTGGTTTGCATAGTCAAATGTATTTTAACATCAGCAGGTATCTGTATAGACTAGATGATGAAGGTACAGTCAAATAAGGAAAGGCTTCTAAAACTGCATATGTTTACTTTTATGCTATTTTGTACAGCATGCTGCTGCGTGCTGCAGTCACGTTCTGAGGGGGGTGATGGAACCACATCATCTGCAAAAAGCAGGGATGTAATTCTAAGGTCCCCAAAACGGGGACACTTCTTCCCCTGGCTGCGCCTTGAAATCCAAATCACAAACAGGATTGGTGACGAGGAACAACCCTGGCGGAGGCCAACACGCACTGGAAACGTGTCTGACTTTGTGCCGAGTATCTGGATTCAGCTCTCACTACGAGCCATACAAGGACTGTATGGCTCGTAGCAACGACCCAGGTACCTCGTATTCCCGCAGTATACCTCCCACAGGACTCCCCGAGGGACACGGTCGAGGGCCTTCTCCAAGTCCACAAAACACATGTAGACTGGATGGACAAACCCCTCCAACAGACCCGCAAGGGGAAAGAGCTGGTCCACTGTTCCATAGCCAGGACAGAATCTGCAGCACTCTATCTAAAGCACATGCAACTGGCATCTTGGTTGACACTGGGAGCCCTGCCATAAGCACAGCTGCTATGACTCACTGCTTCAACTTCACATGTCCTTTCAGGTGCTCTGACACATCAAAGATGTGAGCAGTGAGAGGCCTCTGCTGGAGGTGTTGATGCTTGATGTGATGCTTAGTGAGGCAATATTAAAATCAAGTCTGGGTGCAACACATCATAATGTCAAAGACGGTGGGGTAGCACAGCACGCAAGTTTATAGTTAGAATAGTTTCCTGTGGTGAGATTCATTTATTTTCACTTCCACCTCCAGACTTACATTGAGCTGCAACAAGACAACATTTTACCACAAAGTCACAAGGCGAGATGTCTAAGATATCAGATATAATTGTGAGGTTTTGAATTAACACATAAACGAAACAAGTTTCAGATCATGCAGAGTATTACTTATCCATATGTTAAGTGTAAGATGGCATGTACGGGAAGGTAAAATACAAGTTGTGTGGTTATATACAAACTCTATCTTTCTGTAAACAGTCTGTTAGCAGTGTCCCTCATTTCCACATATGCAAATGAAACGGAGGATAAGCCTTTATTTTAAAGAAAAACTACCAAATTAAATTAAATGAGCTGTGGAATTTAATCATGTATCATCAGTGCCTGTCACCTGTTGGTGTGCATATTATTTGCTTCATAATACAGACAATACACTCTCACTTGTCTCCCCCTAAAAGTCCTTTGGGAGTTTCATTCATCATATCAATACACTGTAAACAATTTAGTGTGACAGATACCAGATGAAGGGCTTTCAACAGCTAGGTCTTCCATAGCTGTGTGATCACTAGCCGTCTTATTTTGACCGACTAATTATGAATATTAAGTACAAATTTATATAAAATTGAACAGGAATCAAACTGAAAAAGATGAGAGTTTTTCAAGACAAAGTGTTGTGCTTGTCCTCTGATGATAGAATGCTAAGATTGTTGGGTTATTTCCTGTTTTGAACATTTTGCAGTAACATTAGTCTCTAGGGAGATGGCAAGAGCAAAGAATGAGGCCCAATGTACACCCACATGCTCTAAATAACCTCTCTTCCTGTGTGTCTCCGTGTTTCTGCCTTTCATTGAGCTCTTTGAACAGGCTGACTGATTACAGCTGCCAAGACAGAAGATGGCCTCCACTGCAGACAAAGCCATTTGGATCCAGAAAAAGAAGCTGACTGTCCCCTTAGGGGTCCTCTCTTCTCCCCAGGAGATCCAGTGTGTACAACATTCATCTGTGATAATAAGTACTTTGTGCCTCATCTCCGTGATATTACTGCGTTTTGCTGGCTGTCCCTCTGCCTCTCTGTGGGTTTGTTGGCCTGCAAGAAGGTGATCAGGGATACTGCTGCTCATGTCTGCGAACCACCATGACCGTTTTTTAAGTAGCACCCATGGTCAATCATAATTTTTTTTTTTTTGTATTGTCAATTTTCCATCCATATGAATCTTACTTACAGTATGCATTACTTTATGTATCCCTTATCCTTATCCTTATCCTTATCATATGAAAGTAGAATGCACCTTCTTCTTGTCTCATCAGACTGATATTGTCCAGTGCCTCAATAATGAGTTTTTATTAACTCAAAGTATAATGTACAATTTGAACATTAGTTTTAATTTTTTCGTGCATATAAAACAACATAAAGTACAATAACAAATGCATACGACAGGAATGAGCAAGAAGAGTAAAAAGTATAAAATAAATACCCACAGTTGTTGTACTGTATGTCGAAAAAAGTGGGAAAAAAGTTTGGCTTGTCAAAAAAAAAAATCCTTCATAGTATAGTGTGTTGAAAAATGTCTTAGTATTGTATGATAAAAAAAGTCCTAGTATAATATGTAGAATACATTTTTTTTAAAAGCCTTCATAGAACAGTATGTAAAAAAGTTTTTACCCTCCTGTAAGGCTTAGGAGAAGGCTGAAGGCCAAAAACCCTGAACGGGAGGAATCTTTAGTTAAAGTTTGAGCCCCATCCCCTTCACTCCAACCTCTTTATTAAAGGACACTTGTTGTTTCAACTGCCTCTGAGTCTCCTGTTTTAATTTGAATCCTGCCTCCACGTCCCCTGGGTTGCCACACTAATTTTAATAAGATTCCACACTCCAAAACTTTAAATTGTCTAACTTCAATTTGGCCCGCAAGCTTTACAGTTAAACGTTTTTCAACAAGACAATGTGCAGAAACTCTTTTCTCTTGAGCCATTACATGTCAAGTTATTGCAGAGCAGGAATGAAATTCAGACAACCTTGCAAACACAAGGGGGCGCACTGCCTCTACTTTCACAACTTTCAGACTGGCGCAGCCAACTTGTCAGTGACTTTTATAATAAACTGTCAAGGGCTTGATACTTCCTCTTTTCATGGTGTGATGGTGGGGGAATTGTTGGCCCTTAATGTCTGTGTTTACGACTGTTTGGTGGACCCAGTCACTTAAACCAGATCCTGTTATCATTATTGTCTTGACACAAGTGCACTAATGAGCGCTTTTCCTCCAATTGGACCATGACATAATGGGATAATACCACAGGCATGATATGGTCCATCAGCACTTCCAACCACAAAATACCCACAGAGCAAACAAGGCCTAAATTATAAAAATACATCAACACAGTATTCAGTCTTGTGTTGTAATATACATTCTGCCTGTTGTCCCCCTGTAATAGCAAAAGCCCTATGATTATGTAAACGTTTAAAAGAAACACAATCTATAAGTGACGAATCTAGAAGAACCTGTTGTGAGGCAATAGAAATGCTCCCAAACTCATACCGCTGTAGCCCCTTTAAAAAGCATTCAAATAAGACAAGAGAAGAAAACAAACATCACATCACATGCACACTGATGAGGAGTTGCAAGAACACATTACTCTGCTGCACCTTTAAGACAAACGTAGTTGTTTTTTTGTCTTTAACACTTAGCATGCTAATTGACAGGAAAAGTAACAATCTTATTTTTTTTTTAAAGTAAATTTATGTAAAATTAAGTGGGCATCCATTTCTAGCTACTTCCATATTCTTAAAACAGAATAAAACAGTCGTGTACCACACAAACATTTGCACAAATAAACTGTAATTGCAGTATTGAATATAGTCAGGGACAAACAGGATCATCCAACAGGTTGCCATAAGGTTACATTCCGATAAGGTCACTGTACCGAAGGGTTCCTGCATTAAGCCAGTGGTAACCAGGTTACTTAAGTGTATATAAACTCACTGACTATACCATAATGGAAAATGTTTGTTAAATGACAGCAGAAATCTCAAATATAGTTGCAGTCAATAGCCCAAGTTTGTCCTTCATTATGTACAATGCCCCTATCGGCAGTGGAAAGTAACACTTTCACTCAAGTACTGTACTAGAGGACAATCTTAAAGTACATGTACATGTACTTCTAATCTGCCACATTTGATTTTTCCACTACAAACAGCTTGGCATATACTTTTCAAATTAAGATCTTACATACAAAACATATGATCAGTTTTTAAAATGTAATTGTTTTTAATTAAACTGCTCAAAATGATGCAGTAAAAATTAGATAAAAGTACTTCTTTGATGATGATCCAATAATGAAATATCAATCTCTTAATATATCATACTTTTGATACTACATTTAGATGATAATTTGTACTTTTACTTGAGTCAAATTTTGAATGCAAGACTAATTTAATATCTTTATAGTATTGCTAATTTTACTGAAGTAAATCATCTGAATACTTTTTCAACCAATGGTAGCGCTCATATATTTCAAAGTTAAAGAAATGACTTGACTGTCCGTATGGTATTGATTTGACAAACCAAGTCCCGGGAGATTTGAAGGTGTCCAGTTCAGCCATAGTGTGACTGAATAGCAAGTTTTTTTCCTTGTTGCTCGGAAGTGTGTGCGTGAAGTCAGCCGTCTGCCTGGCACAGATGTGTGTTGGTGTGCTTCCAGCTGTTTGTGGGGAATCATAATGTCTGGACCAATGGTCTGGTCTGGTCTGGACTGGACTGGATACTCCCTACAGCCTGTGAGATCATCACACTTTTAATTAGACCGGATCCACCAATTAACGGGAAGTCAGCCGGTCTCTCTAAGCCCTTTAAAAGCTGCCGAGTCAAACATCCAGCAGTGTTCTGACAGAGGCTCAAACAAGGTGGGTTAACTTTTATTTCCTCTTTTATCTCTCAGGATTTTCAGAATGAATTAATGCTATTTCTGCTCTGACGTATTTATTCTTTGTGTGTCTCATGCTTTGTGTCATATTTACAGAAGGATGTCTTCCACTGTGCTTGGTGCTGTTATTCTGTTGGTGTGTGCCTTGACATTTAGTGCTGCTCAGAGTGAGTATAACTTGTGTGGCCTTTGTACAGCATAGAGAAACATTTACCTGAAATGTATTATTCAGTATTCTAAATGCCAGAATGTGTTTTTGAATGAAGGACTTTCCTGGAATGTATCCAGGACGTTTTTTGCTCTTTTGTTCTTGTACTGTTTATTCTGTTAATAATTATTTACCAGAGGGGCAATATTTGTTCGACATTAATTCAGAAATCAATTTCTGGCACAGAGTGTTATTTACACACCATGTCCTAGAGCACATGTTATTGGACAGAAGATGGTGCACATTTTAAAGGCACAGATGTTGTTGTATCCCTCTCTGACATTTTCCTTCTGTTTTCATGTGCTCTATCTCATAAACAGCAAGCTGTAAAAGTCGATGTGGTGATGAGTACTCCAGGGGCTACATGTGTCAGTGTGATTACAGCTGCCTGTCTTATGGAGAGTGCTGCAAAGACTTCGCATCCCAATGCACCACAAGTGAGAGTTTTCCCTTCTGACATACTATTAATACCAGGAACTGTAACACAACGACACTGATGTCCAAAAACAATTTCAGTCACTGGCTACAATGTTTTTCACTCATCAACTGTGGTTTTTCATGTTACTTTATGACTCATTTTCCAAGTTTGCACTATTTTATTTTTTTTACCAATCCCCATCCCTGAAGAGAGCAACATTTCACATACTGCCTGAATGTTCCATATTAATAACAAAATAATCATATCAATCTTAAATAATCAGCACCGTGTTGTGTTTGTGTGAAACAGAAAACTCATGTAAAGGACGATGCGGAGAAAACTTCAAAAGAGGCCGACTGTGTAGCTGCGACTCTAAATGCGCTGATTACAAACAGTGTTGTCCAGATCACAAAACCCACTGTGATGCAGAGGGTAAGCCTTGTCCAACAAAGTCAGCATGGTTGTACGTGTGCGTGTGTATTTTCTGCATGTTAAACTGAATTCCCTCACAGTGTTGTTCGCAGTAGTATCACCATGATATTTGCTGTCCTGGTTAAGTTACCAGTGCTTTTACATCTTTGGTGTCTTCTTTGACATTTGGTGGTCATTTGATACACATGATCAGCAAATACAGTGACGGTGGTGTGATAGCATGGCTGCATGTTAAAGTCGGGTCTCACCCTTCTCAGTTGCACTGTCCTGCATCAATTACCATTTCAGCATAGTACATGTGTATGAATGGTGAAGTGCAAAGAAGCCAGGATTAATCTGACATGGCATGTCCACCAGCATGTGGAGTAGTATGAAATGCATGCAGTAATCTGCACCGCTGCATTGAGCTAAATTTGACAATACTTTCTGTCTCGGTTAATTACCACAGACGAAATCAGTGGAGCAGCCAGTGCAACAGCACCAGTGAAGACTAATTCATGCGATAATGTAAATGATAACAAGCCCAAAGATATATTTGACTTGGCAAAAAGGTTGATTTTTATATTTTCAGTCATTTAGGATTTAAGGCAAATTGTTTTTCACAGGCGTAGCTCTTTAACCTTTATTCATGAACATTCCCACAGAGCCGACTGAAGCAACAGAGCCTTCTACATTCAGCGAGGGAAACAATGCAGGTGACTATACCTTTTACTCAAGGAAGCTACGTAAACTTCATTTCACATCTTGAACAGTTACTACTTGATTCCAAAGACAGAAACCAATGATCATTTGTTTTAGATTACTTAAATGATAAGTGTTTTTTGATAAGAGACATGTCAGGAAGATGGCAGAAAGATGTTTTCGGTTGACAGCCACACTGTGGCTCTTTTGCTGTGGTTTGCTTCCGGTGCCAAGTCTCACCAGAACAAGCCAAGAGCACAAGCCCCACGAGCCAACAGAAACACAAGGAAGCAATGTTGTCATGAGTGAGTAGGAGGGTGACGGGCACAGGCTCAGTCACAAGAGAGGAAAGCACAAAATGAAGCCAAGAAATAATGACAGAACATTTTCTTGGAGGATTTTTTTCAGTAGTTGGCTTGGAATAGTTTTGTGGGTGGTGATACTCTTGCATCCGTGTTACTTCTCTCTCAGGAGGAAGACATGTTGTGACATTTCCATCTGGAATGTCAAGACATTCAGAGTCAGTGAAGTACGTGCTCAAGACAACAAATGCTGGAAAAAGACAGAGATAGTACTGATTAAAAACATTTTTAACATTGCCAAAGTGTTTTTCCCCCAGTGAAGTTTCATGAGTGTGACATCCATCTTTTCCCACTTGTCAAATTCCTCTAGATAAGAACAGCCAGCTTTTTCCCAATGATGAGTTTTCCAATAATGAAGTGGAGGACCTGGAGAAAAGTCCAATCCCAGAGAGCACCAGTGGCTACGAATCGTCTACAGCTGACCTGCTGGATCACATTTCTACTGAAGCCATCCAGGATCCAGATACTCTGGAGTTCAGTACAGAGACATTTACAGTCTTCACAACGACTATCGCAGACATTGAACCAACACAGGCTGGTGACGGCCTCTCCACACTTTACCCCACCATTGCAGAAGCCCCCACTGAGAGCACAGGTATGTGATATCCAGGGATTACCTGGCAGGCACAAATAGATTTTCAATGTAGAGTGATGTTTTATTCTTCATGTTTCTGTGGAAATATTTCTCTAAGGAGGATGGTCAATTTTTTTAACATGCTTCTTACTAGCGTTGAATTCATACTCATGTCGGTCCTCCTCCAGTTGCCAGTGATTCGACCAGCTCATCCGACCCAGGAACAACTCTCCCTCATCCCACCACAGCAGCTGACTTCAGCCAGCCTACTCCAACCTCAGTACCCCAAACAGAGTATTCTCCCACAGCCGACACTCCAGAGCTCGAGACGGCAAGCCAGGCAGAAGTACAGTCTGAGGATGACATTTTTTCCAAAGATCTGACTGTAGCCCCCTCTGATGAACCAGAGGTAACAACCCTATCCAAAACAGCCACCTACACGCCTGTGGCCACAATATCCACAGGACCCACACAGGGCTCCTCCACAGTCCTGGAAAACGCTCAGGTCACCACCATCCCTGTCTCAACGCTGAACCCGACACCCATCCCTGAGGTAACCACTTCAAACGAACCGGATGATACTGAGAAAAACACAGACAGTGTCACAACAGGCCCTCCGTCTTCTCTGGCAGACCTTAAAGATCCTCCAACCAGTGTTTCTCTAGAGGGCTACGGGGACTTAGCAGAGCTTGATGCCGTGACGACCCACATTCCTTCATCCACAGATGTAGTGCAGCATGACACTACAGATGAAGTCACACCAGGAACAACCACTGCTAATCCAGTAAATGTCACACCAGACCCGACCAAACCCGCACCATCCGAAGTCCCCTCAAAACCCCAGGATCAACCTGACCCATACAAACCATCGCCGGCTAAACCGACTCTGGCAAAACCCAGCTCCAAACCTGAGACTAAGCCTCTGGACACCGCACAAACTCTCAACATAGACAATCCTAGAGACTACCAAGCAGGTAAGAAATGTTCTTGATCCAGATTCTCAACACAGCGCCCATAGAAAACAAATAAAGTCAAAGATGAAGGATGTGACTCTGAGAGGAGAAATGTCAGTGTGACTATACTGACATTTCATCCCTGTGGGCTTTGAAGACATCAAATATATTTTAAGTGAGTCTAACACTACTGCAAAATGGAGGTCTCTATTTTCTGGTACATATTTATGACTGCTCTCAGCCTGCTTTATGAGCTCGGTTGTTTTGTCCTTATGCCTCTGGGTGAACAGAGATTCCTTCAAAGCGTAGCTACACTATATTAAGTGTTTTCCTGCTCTGTAAATAACACTTTAAAATAAAGCTTAGATACTTAAAAAAACAATTACAGCTCCTGGAGCACAACATGACAATTAACTCCCAGTAACTTGTCGGTGATTGCATGTCCTTTTTGTCTTATTGCTTGTTTATCCAAACAGATGGTTTTTCTTACAAATTGTGTCCTTTTTCTAAGACGACAGCAACGATACCAATCTGTGTAGTGGGCGGCCGGTCGGTGCAGTCACCACGCTGAGGAACGGCACAGTGGTGGTTTTCAGAGGTTAGTGTCAACCAGGCAGCTGATCATTGGACCTAAGAACTGTAACATGCATTCAGCCAAAATACCAGTTCATTAACATGCAAGAGAGAAGCGATGGATATTTTGTCAAAAACTCAAATTGTTTTTTAATGCTACTTTACACACCTACTTCACTAGATAGATAGATAGATATAAACTTTATTCATCCCCAGGGGGAAATTAGTTTTGTAGAAATTAGTTTGTAGACTACTACACTACATCTCAGAGGGAATCTTTTCTACGTTTTTAAAATACAATATTTTATGTTTCAGTTGTTAGCAGTTCCTTATAAAAATGAATATAATCTGTCCAAACAATCATCTCCCAATGCCATAGATTTAACTTGTGACCGTTTCTGAGGGCCCGCCCCCTAGGTTGGAAAACCACCAGACCAAAGTACCTATAAATCTTTATACATCTACAAAGATTTGTTTTTAATTTTTGGACATTTTCCAGGGCACTACTTCTGGTTTCTGGACAGATACATGGTGCCTGGTCCGGCTCGTGGCATCACACAAGTGTGGGGCGTCCCTTCGCCCATCGACACTGCATTCACCCGCTGCAACTGCCAAGGCAAAACATACATTTTCAAGGTATATTTATCCATCTGATCTGAAACCAATGAGTGCATTTGACAAATCAGAATTCTGAGGATTTCATGGGTGAGACCCTTTGCACTGTATCAGGAGGCCTTTTTGCTGCAAAATACTCAATCTAGGCTGTTCTTTGATATCACATTTCCTCTTGAGCCCTCTTGGCCATTTATCCACCTTTGTAAATTGCTGGAAAGGTTTATTTTTGTTGCTTGAGGTTTAATGTTTCGACTGTGATCTTTGCAGGGATCCCAGTACTGGAGATTTGAAAATTCTTTGTTGGATCCTAACTATCCAAAGGTCATTCAAGTAGGCTTTGATGGGCTTCGGGGCCAAATCACAGCTGCTCTGTCTGTGCCTCAGTACCAGAGGAGGAGAGAGTCCGTTTACTTCTTTAAGAGAGGTGATGCACTGCTGCTACAGAGTCGAGCTTACTAATATCTTTCAGTTTCTTTATTGATTTTGTGTTATTGTATTTTTTTTTCTGTGTAAAACAAAATTTAGATTTGTATTAATTAAATACTGTGTATGTCATGCAAATAATCTAAATGTGCAAATACATTCTGAAATTGACTCTTGAGTGGTTCTTCCAGGAGGATTGGTCCAGAAATATTCATACCAGTTAGGCACCAGTCCAACATGTGGCAGGAAAGTCCAGGACCCCGTTTACACTGTCCGCAGCCGAATGGTTCGACAAGCAGGTAATCCAAGAATTACAAATGTATACAGGACAAGAACTATTTTAACATACATTCCTTTTAACGATGACATAGATTCCTGGATGAATGTAACCGTGATGTGTACGGTGCGTTTTTGCCGGGCATTTTAACAGATTTACTTGGATTCATGTAAACTCAGGTTTAATTTGAGTTTCAACACGAGGTCACTGAAAAAGTGAGTCATCTTTTTGTGACGTGAGAAGGGCAGCGAGGTCCATCTTGTAAATATTTGGCAAGTGGAAATAGGTTGCCTGTCTACCATTTATGTGACTGCAACCGTTTAAGGCTTGTGATGTTGAACAGAAACATTTAAAAAATACATTTTAAATTACATAAATATTGATAAAAACCGAGTAGATAAATTCATTAATTTTACTCTCAACTATTTTGTTTCCAGTGTCTATTTTAGAGCCGGTAGTCAACATCCGGACATCTTGGAGAGGTTTCCCCTCCACCATCACAGCTGCTGTGTCCGTCCCGAGCACCAGAGATCCAGAGAGATACAAATACTACGTTTTCTCACGATGTAAGTCATTGAGCAAAATATCGTTTTTAAGCTCCGTGTTCTGCACATCAAGAAACTCCTTGCCTTATTTTTGATTAGCTCCTAACACACCCTGGTTACCGAAATAAAAGCTAAAAAGGTCGTGAATTTGTTTTTTCTCTTCCATCCCAATATTTAATTGCTCCCCTTCAAAAGAACAAAATGTCCACAACTTGTCCGTCTGCACTGAGACTTTTGTTAGCCGTATTCACATCATGTCTGAGAAGCCTAACGAGGACCATGTGTGTCAGGGTGGGTCGGGATATTAGGCAGGTGTAAAGGTCATTTAGGGTGGTGTCCTTTTACCTACAGCTCAAATGGAGCAACCACAGTAAAATATTCCATTTAAATGATTCCTACCGTCTAAAGAATACTGTAATTCCTGTCTGAGAAAACATTTCACAGTTTAATCATCAGGAGGGGTTTAGCGTCTAGTCGTTTATGTCATTCAAAAAACACTCCAGATTCAAGATTCAAGCCAAAAGCTGTCAGTTAATATCCTTAAAACTCTTGAGGTCAGCACTGATGCATGAGATTCTGTTTATCCCAAATTCATGTTGACTAAAAATGGAAACTGGCATGTACATGAAATAAAAACAAAAAACATCCTGAATACCATACATAAATTAAAATGCTTATTGAATTATTCTGTTTCTTTTGCAGCCAAATCCTACAACGTGAGGATTGGTAGTGAACGTCCCGTCATTTCTGCTCCGACCGACAACGCGTCACCTAAGAGCAACGACTTCTTGAAATGCCCAGCGAGAGTGTGATGAAAGAGAGTTGTATCATACACAGTTTTTTGTCTTACAGCTTTGTTTATTACATTCTTCATAAAACACACTGCTTCAGCATGGACCGATTACAAAAAGGTACTTAACATAAAAAACAAAAGCAAAACTAAAAACGACAGGCTTCAGAACAAGCGAACATTACCATGGCTGAATACAGACTCTGAACACACCGATTGGAAAACATGAAATGTGTTTCTGACGGGAATGGAAACTTCTTCAGTCACTGTTCACAAGTTTCCTGACTGGTGCTTCATCTCGCGAATCGTCTCCCATGAACACCCCGAGAAGGAAATCCCTGACCTGTTGGGAGACAAAACATTGTTTAATCACAGCCTGCTATGCTGATGTAAAGATGTTGTACAGTGGCTGTATAAAGTGTGTGAGAAATGTAAAACAATGATAGTGTTTCCGCTGTTATTCTAATCAACATTAAACTGAATTATAACACACCAAAATGTTTTAAATGCTGTGACTGGTACTTAATGAAACAAATGTTTTACCGGGATTTGTGTGCACACATAAGCATAAATCATTACGCAGAAAATGTGAGTTGTAAGCAAAAACCTGTTGCACTGCCATTAATGTGCATTACGAGTTAGCAAATAAAGAGACGTAAAGATGAGTTTAGGTTGATGTACCATCTTTCAGGCATACAACAACTTCCAAAATATACATTTACTTATTGGCATTGTCAAACAAAACTGGTTTGATATGACAAGCTGATCAACATTTTCTATCAAAGTACAGAGAGCATCTTCCACCACACAACTCTATATGAACACTGAGTATTGGCTCCATCACCACCCATTTTTTTGGGGTGTGCTTGCAAATGTTACCTCCTCTCTTCATGCGGCCACCGCGGTGTTCTGGCCAGCGCTGCAGCTGTCTGCTGGGTGCAGGTCTAGAGGGTGCACTGCTTGTATCTAGCAACACAAACAAACACGGCAATCAGAACTGAACACTAATCACAGGCAGGGTGTGCACAGCCACGTGGCTACACTGTACCTGCAGAGCTGGAGGATGGCTCCTGGCTGGTGGAGGGGAGGCAGGCCTTGTCAGACTGCTGGCCTGGCTCCTCTAAATCTCCCTGCGAGCCCACTGAATCCATTGATACTTCTGCTCTGCTGGAATAAACAGAGCAACAAAACAACGTGCATTGGTCTTAAAATCACCTGGAAAAACCATGAATGCAAGAAAATAAAAAAAGCCTTAAGATGCATTTATTATCAACCTGCTAACTGCTTTGATTCAGCTATCGATACTAAAAGAGGAGAAAACAACAGACTTTCAGTAAATAAAGAAATAATAGCATTTCATATCAGGCTTATAGCCTGCATGGGAACCAATAATGAATGTTACAGTTGACGGGCAGGAGAAGATTTGCAGACTGCTCCACACCCGAATTCCAACAGCAGAGAGGAGTGAATTCCAAAGCAGAGGGGAGTGAGCCTCACCTATCAGTGTCCGGCTCCAGGAAGACGTCGTCTCTGTCCTCCCCTGTGCCGGCTGCTCCTGGTACAACCAGGCCTGGTGTGGACGTGCTCACCATGGGAACCGACTGGGAGGCGTGCTCACTGGTGGTGTCGGACTGAGCCGCCTCTGAGAAGACCGTTACTGGAAGAGAAGAACAAGATATGTTGTAGCATACGATAGCACTCCCAAATCTGACTAATTCCATCCAGCTTACTGCCTATTTTCAGAGACTGTGAACTGAGTGAAGCATATAGATGAAGAGGGTGGGTCTAGAGATATACAGAACAGATCTCTTCATATCAGACTGAGACAGATACCTGGTGCTGCAACTTGTGACGGTGTGGTGGGAACGCTGCGTCCACCAGATTCCTCTTCATGAGTTGCTAGGAACAAGGGGCTTTCATACATCCCAAGACCTGAAGACAAGAAACAAAAACTTCCAACGTTCTGTGGGAAATAAAAATCATCTTTCTGCTGCAGATAGCTGGTGGGGGTGTTTAATGCCGTTTTAAATAAACTGTAACTGTGCACAACACGTGGTGGTGGAGTACCTCCTTGTGAGGCGAGCAGTCCCAGGTCCGAGTGCGAGGATGAACTCGTCTGTGGCACGTCGTCTGAAGGACCAAACCTGAAGCGAGGCACACCGGCTACTTGGGGAGAACTGACAAACAAAAAACAAAGAGTCAGTCAGTGCCTTAAGACAGCAGAATGAGACAGTTTGAGGTATTTTAGGTACTTTCAACGAAGTATAGAAGTAAAACCATATCATCTAAAAATGTGTTGTATAATCAAATGCCGTATTAGATCAACATTATCTCATCATGTACTGTATCACCAGTGATTTTGTCACTTTTACATATTTCAAATGTTTCACATTCTGACTTCCTGGTCTGTGAGACTTACTGGATCGCCTGGTCAAACACATCGGAGCGCTGCGGCAACACCAGAGTGGGAGTGCTGGGAACCATCCTGTCATCGTCGTCACAGAAGTGCTGCTGCAAGAGGAAGAGATGACAGGAAGTGTGGAATACAAACACAGGGGAGTGAAAGTTGTATAAATGACGTAATGAACGGACTTACAGAACTGCCCGGCACCCCGGGAGTGAGCTGTGGGACTCTGCCGACCGACTGACGACGACCAGGGATACGCTGTGAAGTTCATGTGTACAGAATTGATTAGCAGAGCTAGTGATCTGCGCATCGAGATGACATAAAAAGAAAAGACCAGAGAACAAGCACCTTTTCAAAAAAGTAATGCCGGTCTTGTGCCATGAAAAAAATAACTAAAAACAATGTTCTATTTAACTTCTCTTTTCCTTACTGAGGGTCAGATCACGCTTCCTTCATACCTGAGCCGGTGGCCCCAGTTCTGACGTCGGGGCGATGTTCAGGCGAGGGGGCAGCTGATGTGTTGGTCTCCGTGGCGACTGGGGCATTCGTGTACCGGAGCTTGTGATTGGTTGTTCCGTAGAATACGCCTCCATCGTACCGCCATCAACTGGAAAAACAGATTATACTCAAACCGGTCCATTTGATTTGAAATAACATTAGATCAGAACGAAGTGGTTACAAAACTACTTATGAAAACCCAACCGATCCACTCGTTATTCAATTACTTATTTAAACTAAAGTTCCTAGACTTGGATGATTTTTTTAAACGGCAAAAACCACATTAGCGGATTATGCATACATACTCAATGAAGCCGGTCAGGACAAATGTTTAAAATCATTGTATTTCTGTTCAAAAGGTGAACAGGAAGCAGCTGTCGAGAGGCACACTGCGTAAGATTTAATAGTTTCAAATTGGAAATAAAATAAAAACTACACTTGAGAATCTGTCTATCGCCCTAATGAAACCATTGCTGTACGTCTTTCTAATCATGGGATTAGATTCTTCATCCGTGTAATGTACTAAAGTTCAGTTTAAGTTGTTCCCCTCAGTGATACGGGGCCACAAAATAACTTGAATTATGAATCTTCAAAGTAAAGCAACCCTTGTTGGAAATGACCTTTATTGGCAGACACACACACAGACACACACACACACACACACACACACACACACACACACACACACACA